GGGGGGGTTATTTTAGTATCATAGTTTATATAAGTGCTAAATTAGTCCTCAGGCTGTTTTAGTGCAGCTGAAATAATTCTCGGGGATTATTTAATGAGAATTATTTCAACTCATATTAAAAGAGTTTTTTAAATCGACACTTTTATAAACTCCGGGGCTAAAATAATCCCTAAGGGTTAGGGAATTATTTTAACACTTTTCTCTATATAAATATGTATATTATCTTCTTTCAGCATCTTGGGCAAACAGTAATAAAGATAGTGAAGGTGCACCTAAACTAAAAGGAGCGAGATGGTTTTCTTATGATGAGCTCAAAAAAAGCACCGATGGTTTTTCACAAGTCAATGAAGTTGGCTCTGGAGGCTATGGAAAGGTAACAGGAAATAAAATTTTGAAAGAAAGCCACAATTTTAACGTTTCATCATCTTCAGGTATACAGAGGAATGCTTTCAACCGGACAGTTGGTCGCAATAAAAAGAGCGCAACACGGATCCATGCAAGGAGGTCTTGAGTTTAAAACCGAGGTAGAATTGTTATCCAGGGTCCATCACAAAAACCTAGTAGGACTAGTTGGTTTCTGCTTTGAGCAAGGAGAGCAGATGCTTGTATATGAGTTCATTCCTAATGGAACACTAAGGGACAGCTTGACCGGTAAGATCTTCGGTCAAAGTTTGATATATAAAGAAAAAAAAGATTTTATGCATAACAAAAGTCGTGATAGATTAATATTGCAATATAGGAAAGAGTTGCATAGAACTGAACTGGAAGAGGAGGCTTCGGATTGCACTAAGTTCAGCTAGAGGTCTCTCATACCTCCATGAACTCGCTGATCCGCCCATAATCCATAGAGACGTCAAGTCATCCAACATCCTTTTGGATGATAATTTAACAGCAAAGGTGTCAGATTTTGGCCTTTCAAGGTTAGTGTCAGATAGTGGGAAGGGGCATGTTTCTACTCAAGTAAAGGGAACATTGGTGAGCTTCTCTTTCAAATTTCCTTCTGTCAGTTGATACAAAACCAAAAATATAAATGCTTAATTTTGTGAGCCATTTAATAAGAAATTAATTCTAGATCATTAAGGCGGCATTTGGTAGCATCATTTAAAGGCGATTTAGCCATGAATTTAGTGTAAATCCAACCAAACATTAAAAAAAAAACAAAATTAAATGCAATATTCGGTTAAATAAAAAATTTTTGAGTTCCATTTTTTCTTCAAGCGTTCCCTCTCTTTTAGAACGTAAGTCCAAATTTAGTATATCCGATGAATTTAAGAATTTCTTGCTTTCATCGCTCAAGTGTTCATTTTCATCAAACTGAAGAATGGATTTATAGGATTTGATAAATCCTATTTAACATAAATTCAGTCTGCAGCCAAACACCGCCTAAGTCTGATTTAAAACTACACTAAGGTCTAATAAGAAATTGGTTTCCTGATGCCTCCTGTTTGTTGTGTTTTACAGGGTTATCTGGATCCTGAGTATTACATGTCCCAACAGCTTACAGAGAAGAGCGATGTTTATAGCTTTGGGGTGGTGATGCTGGAGCTGATAACTGCAAGACAACCAATTGAGAAAGGCTCGTATATAGTTCGTGAGGTGAAGATGTCCATGAAAAAAAATGAAGATGAATTCTATGGTCTGAAGAAAATACTTGATCCGCTGATCCTCAGTACAATAAATCTAATAGGTTTGGGAAGATATTTAGAGTTAGCAATGAGATGTGTTGAAGAATCAGCTCCAGGTCGGCCTACAATGGGTGAAGTGGTAAAGGAAATCGAGTCAATTTTACAAGATGAGGGACTCAACACCAACTCAACATCAGCATCTTCATCTGCCACAGATTTTGGAAACACAAAGGGTGCTTTTCGTCATCTATATAACGACTCATTTCCTAGAAAAGCGGGAAAGGGTGGTGCTTTTGATTACAGTGGTGGGTTTACATTGTCAGCAAAACCCGAACCAAAGTAGTAGAAACATTTATTAGGCACTGTTTTACCACTTCATGAACATATTTATTTGTTATTTACTGATAATGTCCTTATAGATCAATGCAGAAACTAAAATTAAATACCTTTCCACGAGTATATACAATATCAAATCGTTTTTTTTTTAAACCAAATATATGAATATTAAAACACAGTTCACCATTCTAATAGAAAAATTTTCTTTCATGATACCAGCAAGGGATATGAGTAGAATTTCAACAAAACAGCAATCAAGTTGCTGAGAAAAATTAAAGAGGCAAAGAATAACGAAAGGAATATTATTGATGTAAGGGAAACACAAGAATACACATGGCAAGATACCATCTGAGCTGCCAACTCCAAGATACAAGTACAATGAAGATGAACGGGTAGCCCAACCTTCCCAAAAAATGGAAACTCAATTCTAAAACTAAAATCTGCCCCTATACACAAAACAAACCATATTTAAAAGCATTAAGACCCCATTATTATATGTTTTTTATCCATATAGAATAACATATTAAAACAAAGAAGTAAAACATAAAATCTAACTTTAACATAACGTGGACATCAACAGTATTGACACTCCCACGTCATTTATCTTGGGTTGGAGAAAATTCAACTGCCTCTCCAATTTTGACTATGAGACATTAAAAATGATGGGAGTTGTTCTAATCCCTAGCTAGGTTAAGATTGGTGATCCAAGCATCTGTCTATTGAGTGATAATTTCATTTGCACTCGCGTAGCATTTTTAGACCCTTACAATTTAACTACTAGTCATTTTTGTGGAACAAATGTATGCAACTTAAACTTGATTTTAAGCTAGCGTGTGAAACATTCTCTAACTATTGAAATTTAAACGCTAGTTAAACTGGTAGAGCACATACAGGTGAATTAAACTTGATTTTAAGTTAGTCTGTGCAGCATTCTCAAAAATATTCGTTAAAGCATTTAGAACTTTAGCCGGAGCTCATGCAGTATTTAATTTCAAATATTTGGACAATTTAGAAATTTATGCATGCTTTTAGAGCAACAAATTTTAAAATAACTGTATACTTTTTCACAGAGCATTCTCAAGAAGAATGAATCAAACCACTTAACATAATCGTCAAAGCTCACGCGAACTTATAATTTTGAGATTGTGCACACATTTCAACATACTCATTATGTATTTTGAATGAATATTGACACACATATGTGATCATACTATTTTTTCATTCAAAGTATAACATGATATTTGATGTATCTATAGATAATATTTTATATTCCTGCAAAGCACAATATGATATTTGAAGTGTGTAAATGCATATTTTAAAATATTCACACATCTTTTGAGACAAAATATTAGAGTTAGCAAATCCTTGAAGCATAAAATAAATTATTTTAAAAATCATTTAGATTTTGAAATGCTTGCATAAATGGTACAAAAAGTATTATTTTGAGCTTTAAAAAGAATCGTCTTTTGTTGGCTAGTAGGTGTATTGTGAATTCGGTGGCAATAATTATTCAAAAATTCTGACAGATTACATGTTAATGATGTGCATGTAATCACATTTTGGCATTTTCAAATGACCGCATTTGTGTGGTTGCAAAGTGAAGTTATAGATTCTGTGACATATGGTTATAATTTAACATTTGATTTTATGCATTCATAATATTATCTGATTATTTGCATTTTTTCCTCGAAGCTCTTGAATTAAAAGAAAAAAGTTCAATCACCATTAAATGTGATAATAGTTTTTAATTATTTTGAAAATCTTCATTTGTTAAATGATCAAAACCAATTAGTCCTGACAAATGTGCGGGTTTCAACTAGCGCAGGTGCGAGAAATAGCCAGCTGACTGAACTGGCTAGCATAAGGGACCGATCCAGGCATTGCGGGATCGAGCAGAATCCAGACGGGCCGGACTGCCGCCCGCCCCTCTACTCTTTCCTTTTATGTTTTGTTTCTTGTGGGAGTCTTATATCTACTGATTTTTCTGAAGTTAAACTTTAGTTTTTGTTGTGTGTTTATTTCATATTCATTTGTGGAGTTGTTCTCCCTGTTTTAGGGTTGTATCCGAGGAGGTGATGGGTGTTCCAACTATATCCTACTCTGAAGCGGTGTTGTGTCTTCCTTAATCCCTTTCTCCAATCCTAATGCTCCCATCTCTCTGACCGCCGGCCACCCCCAACACATCCTCCCTATATCGCCACCCACTTCCAACCCTCTCATCAATCGATCAACCCCCACCCCCCAAACCTTTCCCCGTTGAACCTTGTTGTCCAGTCCTCCGGCCACCAAACTGCATCCCGCCAACCACTCTAGGCAGCTCTCCTTACTGTCCTGGTAACCCCCACCCCCACCAGCACGCAACACCTTTCCTTGCCATTCTCACCAGTTTCCCTGTCTCCCCACTCCTCCAACCATCAAATGAGCCACCATCCCTTCTTCCAAATCTCCTTTTCTAACCTACCACGCCTCCTCCAAATCTCCTTTTCTAACATTTCCGGTTGTGTAGGGTTCTAGCCCCATTTCTACAATAATGAAGGTTTGCTTGAGTTTCCGCTGATTTCCGAAATAGTTTTAGTATCAAGTCCGCATTGTAAATCATTTACAAGTCTAAATCACAAAAATTTTGGCAGCCTCCTAATATCTACTCTCATTTAGGGGATGTTGGGATGAGTGTAAGCCTGCCCATCGGTCTAAAACACGTGTGGTCAACATCGTGAGACACTGCGACTATAAAAAAGTCTTCTAATTCATCGGTAAATAAGACACGTATGAGCATTCGATTAACCTGCATGAAAGTGATGTGAGCATAATTTTCCTGCTTTTATTTCTTCATAATTGATGGTGAAATGAGATTCACAAACTAATAAATTATCATACAATTCTCTCTTTCTCTCTCTTTCTTTTATTTTCCTTAATATATTATCTAATATATAATAAATATTATATATCATGTAGTATTTGGTTCGTTGGCTCAGAATAACAGAGATAGTGTAGCTCTGGTGAAGACGCATGGAGGTTCAAATTGGGGGCTCGGGATACCAAGGAGAAGAGGCGAAGGACTAGGTTCGAACAGGAAGAACGGCTGGGCCTTGGGATTGAGGGTAGGCAAATATTTGCGAACGTAAGACGTACGTCGGAGGTTATTCGAGGGTACGGGCGGGTTATATCCGAGTTATACCCTGCATCTGAGGGCTGCGTCCGTGCAAAACTGAAGAAATTTTGGTTGTTGTCGCCAGGAATGACGGAGAAGGTGAGGAGCTAGTGTTGGGCTTTGATTCAAGACAGAAGAGGGAATAGGGAATGAAAGTGCTGCACAGCGCAAGCGACGTCTGGGTTTGCGGCCCGAGAAGATTGACAGCAAGGCTTGCGAGCAAAGTAGGGATTTGTGAGAGTAGAGAGAAATTGAGAGTTTTCAAGGTCTTAGTATGTCGCGATCCAGACGAACAGGGAGGGAGGTGGAAGTTGAGAAAGATGGGAATTTCGGAGGTCTTTATACGATGCAACCCCGTCGCTGTTTTTTCCGACTAGCAACAGTCATGATTGTATCGTGACAGATTGCATAGAAGAAGAGAAAGACGAGAGTTTTAAAGGCCCTTCTACGATGCAATGTCATCGTCTCTTTGGTCGCCAGTGTGGCGCAAAGGTGATGAGCAGGACGGTGTACCTAAATTTGGATTAAGTAGGTCTCACTATAATACATTGATAGATAGTTTTTTAAAGGAGCAGGACCCACTTGCTACGTGGCACATGCTTACTGGACTCCAGATGCAAATTTTGTGCCCGGTGTCTGATGTACTGATGAATTAATTTTCCGTGTAATTGAGAGGAGTGACGGGCATTGTGGAAGTGAGGTTTCGTGCATTTCAAACAAAGGGTTTAGGGTTTCTGGCTTTTACTATTCGAGAATAAAAGGGCTTGCATGAATGGCTACAAGACCTGCATAGTTTCAGGTTTATTATTGTTTTTTTTTTACGATCAGTAGACTCCTAATTAGCTTGATGACAAACCTTGAGATGGTTAAATTCTTTGTTCAAGCTGCACCTTTCATGTGTCTCAATAAAGACTAATTTTCAACATATGAAACTATGTCGAAGGATACCATGCAGACAAACAATATTATTCATTCCAAGATAATTTGTGTTGGAATGGTTAGAATCAAAATATTTGATGAAATCGTTTATACACCCGGAGACTTGAGCCATGTTTCAGATGTGGGAAAGAATTTAAATTCCTTAAACACACTTAATACTAAAAAAATAGAAATACTCTAATGGATGTGAAGTTGTGAAGGTCGGCAAAGACTCTCTTGTTATACTCAAATGACAAAAATTTATTGGACTAACTGTCTGCAAGACTTTACGATAATAGGTGATCCAATAATTACTTCTTTTATGTCAGTTGATGAAACAATCATACTTTGGTACATGTCTTGAGCACATGATTGAGAATACGATGGTTTAAATGAGCAGAAAATGACTTCTTGATGGCCAAAACATTATTAGATTAAAGTTTTGTGAGCATTACAAATTTTGAAAACATAAGAGATTTAAGTTCAATACAGACATCCAGAAGACTGAGGGAATACTAGACTACATAATTTTTTTTTAATTGCAACCATTATAATCTTTGGGGATTATTCATAGTTATGTTTAAGGGTAGTGTCAAATATATGCTTACATTTATTCATGCTTTGTATAAACATGTTTTGATTTTCTTAATGAAGCAGAAGTATCATGATTTTTAAGATCATGGAGATTTATTTTCTTTCATCAAATCATCCCAAGTTGAGAAAGAAGATCAAATAATGAAAGTACAACATCAACTTGGATCAATTCATTGTTTCCAATAAGCTCTCTTCTTGAAAAAGAAGATCAAATAATACCCTCAAGACAAATAACTTCGACTACATGCATTACATGTCGCTTCTCTTGAGAAATTTACTAAAGCATAATTAAAAAATTTTCAACAAGTTATCAAGCAAAATATTCATTATTCAACAAAAACTATACCATACATGAGTTGTAAGTCTTCTCTCCTCTTTTTCAACATCACCTTAATTTATAAGCATCTCCCTGTGTTGCATCAAAGGAATATTTCAAGATTGTAAAC